CCTCTCCTTTGGATCGGTTCTAGTTGTTGGATGTTTTCCTTTCAAGACTTTATTGCGGACCGAGAGGGGATGGGGAATTTGCAAAGACCCGTGGAAGGGGTAGATGCGAGTGCAATCTCTTTTAGTAGTTTGCATGCTTCGTTGAAAAACGGGGTCTGGATCAGAGTCGTTTAGTTTCTCTACTATTGTTGCCTGGTTGTTGGTGTTGTTGGTGTTTTTTGGGGTTTGTTTGTTTTTTGGTAAAGTGTGGATATTCCTGATAGCCAGCATATTTGCACCTCAATGCTAAATGAGCAGGCTTTGACAGAACTCCTATAGATTTAAATCGAACTGCAAAAGCAACTCTTAACGGCAGGCTTCACAGTTCTGAAAACATCCAGTTAGCAGCTCAGATTCTAGAGGTAGTTCATTTGAAGTATATTTTATTAATCCAAACGGAACTCTGGCTCCACTAGCGCAGCGATACACACCTTAACGATCGGAATATCATTAGAATAAACGAATAGGTAAAGGTAAAGGTACCCCTGCCCGTACGGGCCAGTCTTGCCAGACTCTGGGGTTGTGCGCCCATCTCACTCAAGAGGCCGGGGGCCAGTGCTGTCCGGAGACACTTCCGGGTCACGTGGCCAGCGTGACATCGCTGCTCTGGCGAGCCAGAGCTGCACACGGAAACGCCGTTTACCTTCCCGCTAGAAAGCGGTCCCTATAGTTTACCTTTAAAACTAAGAATCAGTCCTGAAAATCTGAGAGTGAAAATATTTGTGTTTTTCATATGGGGAAGAAACGAGTATCTAGAGGGGCCCATCATCATCATCATCATCATCATCAATTGAATTTGTATACCGCCCTTTATTCGTAGATCTCATGGGAAACGAAATTAATTCTACAGTGCCTGAGCAGAGAAATGTTAACAATAGCTTTCCACTAAATATTACAATTTATTTGTTGTTGTGGAAATAGCGGCTTTCTCTAAATCAAGAAACGTACAGTGGTACCTCGGGTTAAGAATTTAATTCGTTCCGGAGGTCCGTTCTTAACCTGAAACTGTTCTTAACCTGAAGCACCACTTTAGCTAATGGGGCCTCCTGCTGCCACTGCGCCGCCACTGCACGATTTCTGTTCTCATCCTGAAGCAAAGTTCTTAACCCGAGGCAATATTTCTGAGTTAGCGGAGTCTGTAACCTGAAGCGTCTGTAACCCGAGGTACCACTGTACTTCCATTGCTCGCAAGACTATCACCAGCACATTAAAAAACAACAAAAAAACTAGGCTCGCGTTGTGCAAAAACTCGGAGCTCGAGCCAATCGACGTTAAGTACCTTTTAGCCCCATCGACTTCGATGTCAGGAAGTTAACTGCCTGTGTAAGGCTAAAGTCCTACAAGCTCCTGTAAGGGAATCACAGACCTGTCGTAGTATGTAGCCTAGACCCTAGTGCGCTCAGCAGGTCCTGCTTCCTGCTGAACATGCTTATAGGTTCCCGCTTCATGTCGCCCGTTTAAAAGCAAATGGATTTCAAAGCACTTAATTTTGGCTGGATCTCATTATGTGTGTGATACTTTTGAAATTGTTTGTAATGCGTTTTGAGATTCGTTGCTGCAAGTTAATTTATATATCAATGAATGAATAACAAACAAAAACAACATAATCCAACTCACAGTTTAATTACAAAACAGCAGCTATTATTGCAGAAGTCACCCTGGATAGGAACCGGCCAAAGGCCAGACTGAAAAGAGAGGAGCTTGGCCCCATATTTTGCATCTGTAATCAACGAATTAATTCATAGTTCGCTGTGGCAGAAGGAAGTTTGTATGAAAGTAGGAACTCGGGCCTATTTAGAATTAAAGAAGCTACAAGAAAATGTGCTGCTTGGGGTGATTTGGAATAATGTAACAGGGTGCTAAGGGACACGCTAGTCCCTGGCAGCCGGCTGGAGCTCGTTTTCCTGCGGTGTTTAACTACAAGGCAATCCGCCCTGCAATTTAGGAATCCCCAACTGCCCTTGCCCCCTCCTAGAACCCGCATACTAACTGAGTCAGCTCCTACAAATAGTTTGCCGAGCGCGTTCCGCTTGTCAGCCACAGCATCCAGCGCCTCAAATCGATGGGAACCTTTTAACTTCTCTCCGGAGTTTACTCGGGAGTTTAATCCCAGCGGAGATCTAAGGGTCTCCCAACACGCCCCCCCCCTATACATACGTTACAAGCACCAAAGTAACACACGGCGAACCTTGCAAGATTGTATTGCCAGTTACTGCAGCTTGCACTGAACGCTCGGTCAGCGGCTGAGCTTTTGCATAGAAATGTCGCAGACACTGACTGTACCTTCGGCTTCACTGTTTATACCTTTCCCCCGGTCCCCATAGCCCTGTAGAAAACATGCCCTGCTCCAGTTGACGAACTGTGCATAACCATGCCTCACCCTTCACGCCTCAGGTGCAGCAGTGGATTCCAGTACACCAACGTTTGTGTCACAATGCCTCTAATTTAGTTTGGTGGTGGCAGCCGGGGAGGCGTGGGTTTTTGTTTTTAATTATTATTGCTATAGCAGACGAACAAGGCTACCTTTCTGGCTTTTTCTTCTTCCAGAAGTCTGATCTTGTAGTTTGTTTTCTGCCAGTTAAAAACACCCGTCCATCGCTATCCTTAGCCCTTTCCACCCGGAAGCAAAGCTTCGATCAGCTGGCGGATCTCAGCTTACTCTGTGTTTATGATTTTTGTGTGTGTGTCTTTCTGGAGAGAGTAGGCGCATCTCCCGTTGTACAGGATCCTCCGTGCAGGATACGGGTGCGTGGCCCAGGCTAGAGCACAGGCACCAGGGTGTCCCAATCCAATCTTCCAGAGGTAGTGGACAGACCCTCGCTGTAAAAATGTGGAAGATAACTCTGCTCCCAAGCAATTTCAGTTGGTTAGCTGACCGACTGGCTGGCTTGAAGAGAAAAGACAAGGACCGGGGGACGATAGACTGACTAGGACTGTAAAAGGGCAGGCGCGCGTGGACCTCTTCTGCAGATTAAGGTAGCTGCATCTCAAGAGGAAAGCATTCTCCTTTTTTCTTGGTACATGTGCATTCCTGCCTACAGGCTTTTCTGCCTTCACACAGTGCCTAGTCAACTTCATGCTCTGTATACATACACGAACAGAACAAATATAAATCTCAGTGCATCACTGAATATGTGCGCTTGTGAGAGTGACCAGCCGTTGTGTCAGAAGAGGATTTCTATTTTTTATTTTTTTGTAGACGCTATGGGCCTCGTGGCTCCACCTTCATCCTTTCACCACGCCTATTTAGAATCCTCTCCCACCTGTGGCCATATCACCCCCCTTCGAATGAAACAGACGTGACAACGTATAAAGAAAAGTACCTCTGAGCATGTACAGAGTGCGTTCTCCTCGCCACTGTCCCCCACCCACTTAAAATGAAGGACTAGGTTTTCCTTCTAGGCCGGAGCTCGAGGATCCCAATGCAGGTTTGGGATCCAACAAGGCAACCCTTGGAAAACTCCGTTTTAAATCTCGTGCCGGGTTTGAACCTTACTACGACATTGCGGACCTTTCCTCCCCTGGGAGACTCAGTTACTCTTCTGAGCTGCCATCCCTCCGCATTTCTACTGCATAGGCGGAAAAGAGACCAGGGCTCTCGCGCCTTTAAAAGTTGCGTGGAAGAGGGAATTTCAGAGAGGGTCGGTTGTCTTGTAGCCCTAGGCAGGTGTGCTGCGGGTAACAGAACTGAGAAAGCAACGGATCAGCACTGGGAGTGGGTCACTTCTAGGCCCTGGGCTGTAGCGAGGGATCTAGGCAGGGAGGCTTCTAACAGAGGAATCGGTGCTAGGAGTCGTCACTTTCAGATGTTGCAATAAAACTTATTTCCCGGCCAACAGCGCCAGAGAAGTAATCTCTCTGGAAGCGAAGGTGAGGTGCTGGTGTCCAGCTTTCTCGGAAGAGTCTGGAGAGCGAATGGACTTTCTACGTGGGCACTGGGAATTTGCGTGCGTGTGATGCCTCTTCATCCTTTTTCTTGGCGAGTCGCTTGCGGCCTTTGAATGGGATCCCAAACAAACGGATCGTGGTGTGCGCAGTGCGTGTATTCAGTTTTAACACTTCATAACACGCAGTCTGGGCGAAACTAGGCTGGCTAGCCACCGCCAAACACAACCCAATATACAAAAGTACTTCTCTACAACTACATATACGCATACAGTACGAGAAATTGGCGATGGAGCCAAGACTTCACCCTCTGTATCCAACGAGTCCGACAAACGCTCCATAAGAGTGAGCGAGGTGCTTGTGGGAAGCTAGGACTTGTTAGGAAACGACGGGATTTCGCCACACAGATCTGCCCAAAGAACAGAGATAACACCGGAATTCCTCCCCAAGGAATTGTAATGAGCACATAATTGGGTGCACAATAAAAGGCAGCTGGATTTATTATGCAAGTAATAGACGAACAGCAGGAAGAGCTGGTAATAGATGTTCTTTAGAGAGGTTGACAGGATTCGACACCCTGGAACAACCAGGGGTGTGGGTGTGTCGCTCCAAGTCGGCTTTAAACATCGGAGGAATAAAGGAAGGCAAGGGGAAAAAACACCGGGTGGTGGGAAGAGAAAGTAACTCTGAGGATCCTCGCTGCCAAAACACCGTCGTTTTGCCTCCAGCAAGGAAGAAGGCGCTGGGTATTTCAACAACTCGCACGAGTTTGCCCCGGGAGGTGAGCAACAGATACGCTTAGTTCACTCGGAGGAGGGAAGAGGAGGGCGGCTGACGGCTTTCTCGAGCCCAGCTGGATGGCTGCGTGTTTTGTCTGGCGCAGTATTTTCGACTAAGTATTTTAGGCTGGTGGGAAGTTTGGCAGCCCAGCGCGACCGGAGGTAGCTAAAGAGGCCCCTGTGCGTGGTATCTTTTTGGACACGGGAATTCGGAGATGTCTGATTTACTAAGCGGGAAGATTTGCCCCCTCCCCCCGCCCCAGGCGGCTAACCGGCTCCGGATTCACCCAGTCCTTCCTTAGAAGCTCCACCAACAGGAGCTGAGCCCCAACAGCAGTTCGTCGGGACGAAGCCCAGGCTTTTCCCTTCGCGGGATTTCCTTCTCCACGCAAGCCGGAGCGCGAGGCACTTCGGTCTCCTTTAGGGCAGCCAAGCTCGGGTTTGGCCGCGGGGCAGGAGCTTCACGCGTCGCCTTCCTTCCAAGCCGCGCCGCGCCGCGCAGCTCGGCAGCCCGCGCTCGCTCACCCGGTTTCCCCTGCGCAACGGCTCTTGACTGCCCAGGCTCGACATTCTGAGCTCGCGGGGAAGGAGCCACCTAGGAGGGCCCGATCCTGCCGCGGCTGGCCAACTCCCCCTCCCCGGGCTCCTCCCCCTCCGGCGCCGCCCCTTCTCCCTCCCGCCGCGCGCCCTGCCAGCCCCCCAGTGGATGTCGTCGCTTCTTCCCCCGCGCGAGCCCACGGGGTGTCACTCCTCCGGGATGACCTCAGCCCCGGCCCGAGCCGGGAGCGTCACTAGCTCCGGGCATCCACGGAGCCTGGCCGCTCGCTGGGGCCGGACGATGGGCAGCGAGCGCGACCCCTGAGCCACCGAAGCCCGCTGGCTGCAGCTGCCGCCGAGGAACCAGGTCCGCCACCCGCGAAACGACTGCCCGCCCTCCAGCAGCTGCGGCTGCTGCTGCCAAACCAAGCAAGGTAGCTCGGAGGGACCCTAGGAGGGCGGCGGAGGGGAGCTTCGAGGCGGGAGGGAAGGGCGGGTGGAGGTCTCCTTAAGAGAGTCGCGGCTGCCTCAGCTCTCCGGGAAGAGGAGCCACGCCCGGGCAGAGCCCACGTTTTGCGCGCAAAAGGTTCCTTCTTTCGCGTCGCCAGGTAGGGCCCCGAAAGACTCTTGCTTGAAACTCCAGAGAGTCACTGTGCGGCGAAGCATTTTTAGACAGATGAACTGTTGGTCGGTCTGCCTTTTTACGATCCTCCGGTGCGAGGGACGGAGTCCTGGGTGGCGCTTCCGGAGAAGTTATCTCGCTCGAACCGATCAGGGACATCCCCGCCGGAGGCTGCAGGATGCTTCCCGGAGCTGGGGAACCTCCCGCATGCCTTGTTCCAACTTTTGTGGGCCGGACGTCGACCTCTCTCTCTCGGCCACAAGTGTGCCCAGATTCCTTCTTGCTAGGGTGGGTGTGTGTGTGACGCTGGAGCGAAACTCAGGCGGCATTTTCAAAGCAGCCCCACGCTCAGTCGCCTTCTCCTAAGCAGGCGAGGGCAGCGAGTTTTCTGGAGCGAAGGAAAGAGCAATTTGCTCTCTTGGCCAATACAGTTGGAAGAACTGGGGGGGAAACTCCCCCCCCCCCCCGGAGCCGTTTTGGAGTCCCATCTGCCGCTTTCTGTTTCTCTCTCGTTAAGAGATATGTGCAGTACGATCCTATGCATGTTTACTCAGAAGTCAGATCCAGTGTCTTCAATGGGGCTTACTCACTAGTAGCAGCAGCATTCGCCGAATGGCTCCGTTTAAACCCTGGTAGGTCGGACGAACTGGGTTGTGGATGGGGCTGAGATGAGCCCTCTCTCTCCTCACCTTCCACTTTCCCTCGTTCATCCTCTGACAACCAGAACCACAAGCCTGGTGGTAAGCCACATCGCTTGGTTTAGTGTCGCATAGAAGCGAAGGCAATCCTAGGCACGCTCGCTCGGGCGATTCCCACTGAAAGGGCTGAACCACGCACAGGTTCAGGCTGCAGGCTTGTGATTCCAAGGCGGATAGCCTCTAAAACTTTCCCGAGAATAAGCACCACTGAACGTAGTGGGACTTGCTTCAGAGTAGACCTGTTTAGGATTGCCCAGAACGCCACTTGCAATGGAAGGAAGTCCCACAAACGATTTTCTGCTGTTAGTCCCTCGCATAGAAGGCACCACCAAGGCTCCTGTGTCCTGAAGCTCATTACTGTTGCGCTAGACTTATCTAAGAGAGAACCCACTGGTTCAGATGCACCAGAAATCACTGGGTCTTATTTGCGCAGTAAAAAGTTCCAGACATTATGGGACTGTCCACGTGCATGGGTTTCGAAGACCTGAATAAATTGGGTCTGCCGGCTGAAATTCTCCCGCCCAATTTCCCCTAATTGCAGAACAGTTTAATGGCTGTTAAATATTCTGCCTGCATCAAAATGAGGTGCGTATGTTTGCTTTAAATGGCTCTGGATCTTTCGGGGCAAGGCCCTCCCAAGAGTGAAGGAAGGCGCTCTCTGTGGGATGGGGACCCATATTCAGAAGGGCTAATAGCAGGTGTCTGTGAAGGTGGTCGAAGTACTGGCAGGCCTTAGGAAAACTCAGTCTGAAGGCGCCCCGTCGTCCATTTAAAACGGAGTCCTACTGGTTCCGCAGAAGTTCTTTCCAGCCAGTGGGACTTCAATTGAAGGTAGCTTAGGCAGTGGCGTAGCGTGGGGGGTGCAGTGGGGGCCGGCCGCACAGGGCGCAACATCTGGGGTTAGGGCAAATCCACAGGTTAGGGGGCGCAAATCCACGGGTTAGGGGGCGCAAATCCACGGGTTAGGGGGCGCAAATTACTTGCCTTGCCCCGGGTGCTGACAACCCACGCTACGCCACTGAGGGCTCTCTCTCATCTGCTTTCTCGCTTGCCGAAACCGCCACACACCCCTCAAGCCACTGGACAGTTTGCGGTGGAAATCCGCGCACCATCCAAGTCCGTTGTGCGGGCGCCCATCTCCCGGATTGCAAGGGGGTTTGCTTGCTCGTAGTCGATGGATCCTCATCCTCATGGCTTCAGTGGAACGCCTTTCCATCTCCTCCTCCTCCGTTTAGGACAGAGGCTGTTGCTGGCAAGATAAAATCTGTAGCATTTTATCTTGAATCAAGTCCTCACTCTCAGGCCCCATTCGCGGTACAGTATATATTTAAAGTAGCAGCAGCAATGCCATTTACCTGCGAACCGTAGTTTAAAGGTGCTGAGAGATATTGGGAGACCCCAGTTCACCACCCAGAACTACAATTTCCAGAGTGGTTTAGCGATCAATCGGCAACCCTGGAAATTGTATCCCTGCGAGGAGAATAGGGTTCTCCTAACAGCTTTCCACGCCCTTAACAACCTACAGGTCCCAGGACTCTTGTAGGGAAGCCATGGCTGTTTAAAGTGGTATAATCCAGCTTTATCTGTGGCGATGTGGCCTCAATGACACTTGGCTCATGCAGCAGAGACTTCTTCACCTTCTCTCCCTCTTAACTAAGAAGCCGCACGGCTCAGCGGGCCTTACTCTCGAGTCGACACTTTAGATAGTGTGCCACGTGCCACTTTTCTGTAGCGCCAGCTGTTTTTCCCCGGACTACAATTCCCATCATCCCTGACCACTGGGCCTGTTAGCTAGGGATGATGGGAGTTGTAGTCCAAAAACAGCTGGAGAACTCACCTTCGGGAAACGCTGGTCTAGCGCCTAGAAAAACACAGGGAAAAGGCTGAAGGAAAGGCTCTCTTGAGCGCCTTTATGAATACTTCGCAGGTTCCAAGGATGAAAGTTGGGACTTGATAGGAGAGCGAGAGAAACGGCCTCAACTTAAAACTCGGCTGACTCAGCCCCGCTTAACCTGAGCGGGAATCTCCCTCCGCGTTAAGAGGCGGGCGGTGCTGCTTGTCCGTCAAAAGTGGGTCAGCGGCTCGCGCGCTCTGCCTCGCAGGTTCCTCCCCGCGCGCGCGCGCGCCCTGCCACACCCCCCGCTTCCCACTCCGACCGTCACTTAATCCTCCGGCAGGCGCTGGGTCAGCTTGGAAGGCGCCCACTGACCGCTCCTGCTCTTCCGCCCAAACTTGTTCATTGGCCAGCCAGTCTTAATTCAGCCTCAGTGGCAGCACCTGTGACGCTGACGCGCTCTCTCTCTCTCTCTCCACTTTCCCCGCTGCAGGTTCGCTTTCCCGCCCTTTCTTCCCCCTCCGCGCGCCCTCCCGCGGCGACCCGGGATGTCTCCGGCGGGCTGGGAGGCGCTGGTGGCTCTGGCCGCCGTGGCCGCTTGCCTGGCGGAGGGCGTGCGCGGCGGCGGAGGCGGCTACGGCGGAGGAGGTGGCGGCGGCGGCGGCCTGAGCATGTTCGCCGTGCAGACGGCTCCTCAGCCGGACCCTTGCTACGACGAGAACGGGCACCCGCGCCGCTGCATCCCGGACTTCGTCAACGCCGCCTTCGGCAAGGAGGTGAAGGTGTCGAGCACGTGCGGCCGCCCCCAGGCGCGCTACTGCGTCCTGGCCGAGAAGGGCGACGAGCGCAGCCGCACTTGCCACTTGTGCGACGCGGCCGACCCCAAGCGCGCGCGCCCGGCCGCTTACCTCACGGACCTCAACAACCCTCACAACCTGACGTGCTGGCAGTCGGAGAGCTACGTGCAGCACCCGCTCAACGTGACGCTGACGCTGGCGCTGGGCAAGAAGTTCGAGGTGACCTACGTCAGCCTCCAGTTCTGCTCGCCTCGCCCGGAGTCCATGGCCATCGCCAAGTCGATGGACTTCGGCAAGACGTGGGTGCCCTTCCAGTTCTACTCGACGCAGTGCCGCAAGATGTACAACCGGCCCAGCCGCGCCGCCATCACCAAGCAGAACGAGCAGGAGGCCATCTGCACCGACTCGCACACCGACATGAGGCCTCTGGCCGGAGGCCTCATCGCCTTCAGCACCCTCGACGGGCGGCCCTCGGCGCACGACTTCGACAACTCGCCGGTGCTGCAGGACTGGGTCACGGCCACCGACATCAAGGTGGTCTTCAGCCGCCTGCACACCTTCGGCGACGAGAACGAGGACGACTCGGAGCTGGCCCGAGACTCCTACTACTACGCCGTCTCCGACCTGCAGGTGGGCGGGCGCTGCAAGTGCAACGGGCACGCCTCCCGCTGCGTGCGCGACCGCGACGACAACCTCGTGTGCGACTGCAAGCACAACACGGCCGGGCCCGAGTGCGACCGCTGCAAGCCCTTCCACTACGACCGGCCCTGGCAGAGGGCCACCGCCCGAGAGGCCAACGAGTGCGTCGGTGAGTGAGGAGGAGGGACTCCTTGTCTAACCTTCCAACGGTTTCTCCTTATGAGCATCCTATTAGCCATGTACCCTCCAAATTTCTCTGATGTAGAGACGTCCTAAGGGGCATTCCGGGATCAAATCAGAAACCGGAATGGCTTCTGTAAATCTGGGGCTGTCCTTGGGGAAATAGGGACACTTGGAGGGTTCTGGTAATTGCAGCTTCTTCGCAGGTGCGCACGCAGAGAGCCAGGTGTGAAAGGGGCTCCTCTGAGTGGCTCAGTGAGAAAACGGCGAGAACGTTTGCAAAACCTAAGCAGGAACTGGTAGGGTTTCATATTGGATGGGGGCATGGATTTATGTTGGGGGGGGGGCGAGGCAGGACACACACCTGTCCTCCTCCTCATCTGTCTTGATCTGCCTAGCTCTGTCTAGCAGATTCAGAGTTTAAAGTTGTTTTAAATTACCCCAGGTGTTAGAAAAATCTGTCACAATCTTTCTACAGTTTTGTAAATTTAGTTAAGTATTTTTTATTTATTTACTTGATTTAGGTGAGAGCAGCTTCCCCCTGGCTATGGCCATGAATGGAGGCTACACCAAGTTGAGATTCCTGCATTGCAGAGGGTTGGACTAGATGGCCCTTGGGGTTCCCTCCATATGAGGGGCTGTGGGAGGCCAAATGCTGCAAGCCTGTTCAGTGGTGTCTGTTCACATGGGTGGGGGTGGCTGTTAGTTGCCAAAATATACAGTGATGTGTCTTGCAATAAATGCGGTAGATTCCCTCATTCCCACAGTGCAATAATTGCCTGACCCATTTCAGATATTTGGGATGTGTCTGGGTTTATGCACTGGAGGCTTCGTACATGCTCAGAGGCATTCTGCTATGTTAGTTTGTTTATTGGCAATATCGCTTACATGTTGTCTGCAAACGGAACAGTTTGTTTTAGCTATGAGTTGCAAGTCTCTGGCCATTCTGAGCCTTAGTATTAAAACCAGATTCCGGGACTGAACCTTCTGGTGTCCTTGCAGGCAGATTAATACCCTTACAGTACTATAATGCTAAATGGGTGAGTGATTTGTGACCTGGCTGGGAAGTCAAACATGCTCAGCATGTGCAGAAAGGGTCTCTCCTTAATAGGTGGCTAAACCCTGCTTCAAGTAAAGCCACACACCATTTTAAGGCTCCTCTCCTTCCCACTCTTTCCCCCAATGTCCTGTGTGCCTGTAAAACACAAGAGACAAAAATACATTGACGCAGCTTTTCCCAGTGTGGAGGAAAACTTGACCTGCTGAATTTCTAACCCTCAAGACAGTTGTTAGTGGTGCTGCGGTCTTGTTCAAAAACAAGCTGAAGTCCTGAACCCTTGGAGTGTTTCGCTTTCTCCCCCACCCTTAATCCCAGGTTTTTTTAAAGGGACGATTGGATTGAAGAGAAGGCACCTCAGCAGTTGCCCAATGATGCTCTTTGCTTCGCTATTCCTGTGATCCATGGAGGAGCATGTGGGGATGAGGTCAGGGATATAAGGTGATATAAGGTGATTCTGGCAAAGCTGCGAGAAGGCAATCTTTCTCACAACGCAGTTCATCCCGTGTACTTGTTTCCTCAGCTCACTCGGCTTCAGTCCAAGTATTTCGGCTAGTTAAAATATGCCTGGCAGGAAATTAATTTCCAAAGTTAATAGGTCCCCTTCTTCAACATAGTCTTAGTATGCCGAGGAACAAACTGGTGGAAGAAAGGCAGGGCAAACGGTAGGTTTATCTTGCGTGACCCCGGCTGGCCCCTCACCTCACCCAGCCACGGTGTCTCCCCTAAAGAAGGAGGCTAGGTCAGAGCAGAGTGGGTCTTTCCCTTAGAAAAGATATGCTTGCAAGCTCGTTTCCACCAGATTCCTGTGGGTCAGGCCGGTATAGGAAGCACAGAGCAAAGTGGCAGGAGGGACTCTCTCGCACTGTCTCCCCAAAGCAACTTTGAGAAGGGGGACAGAGCTAGAGTTTAGGCGGAGTAAAAGATTAGGGAGCTCTACTGGTTTGGTGGAAGTCCCAACAGTGGTGCGCTGCTTTGAAGAGAGCCAGTGTGGTGTGGTGGTTAAGAGCGGTAGTCTCATAATCTGGGGAACCAGGTTCGCGTCTCCTCTCCTCCACATGCAGCTGCTGGGTGATCTTGGGCCAGTCACACTTCTCTGAAGTCTCTCAGCCCCACTCACCTCACAGAGTGTTTGTTGTGGGGGAGGAAGGGAAAGGAGAATGTTAACAGCTTTGAGACTCCTTAGGGTAGTGATAAAGCGGGATATCAAATCCAAACTCTTCTTCGAAATCCAACCCAAGGTCGAGTTTGCGCAGCCTGGTGAACTCTTGTACTGCCTAGATTTTGAGCTGAGCCCTTCCTTCCCTCCTTCTGTGCCGCTGCCTGGTCACAGGGGCCAGGCGTTGCTGTGGGACTCTGCTAATTCAAAAAAGAGATACTATCTGCTCCTTCCAGTCCAATTTCTTTGATCTGTGATGGGCGGGCCTAGGCAGGCACAATATTCGGTCCTCTTTGGCTGTAGTCAGAAAAGCACATAGGGAGGGGTGCAGTCGGAGGGACTGAGAGGAAGGTTGACTGGCCTCAAGCGATCCCTGGATAGAGAGAGGAGTGGGGTGTATCGGGATTATCTTACTTGTTGTGCCAGGTGTATGCTGTTGCTGGGGGAAATTGATAAGGTGATCAAACATCACTTAAAAATGCTTAAAGTGTTCTGGGGAAATGAAACACTTTTTAAAACTCAACTTTATTTCTTTCTCAGTCTCATTGCTAAGCAGGTGAATTTGAAAGCAAACTTTGACTGGTTTTAATGCATTTTGTTTAGGATTACTGTTGGAAGAGGGAAGCAACTCAGGTTGCCAAGGAAGGTTTGCATGGAAGACCCTCTCCCCAGAAATAAAACTTGCTTCCAAAATCTTCAATAAGTTTACATGTAATTAAACTTTGGGTTGAATCTTTAAAACTTGCAGCCTTCACTCCCCATGCATAGGGGTTAGAGCTGAGACACACTAACCTGGCAACAAGCTTCCCTGAGAAGAGACACCTTCTGAGAAAGCAAAGTTAGGGACCTGCTCTAAGGAATACTGTATCGGTTTTAGTAACAATAACTATATAAACAGAGTACCATTAAGAATACAGTATTTGTAACTATTTGGAACTAGTATCTATTTGGAACTAGTATCTATTTGGAACTAGTAACTATATTTCAATACTTTTCATTCACATACTGATGACAGAATTGTCCAGTATTTGAGCTGCAATTACCGTACCTGTAAAACAACTATCATTTATTCCTGGGAAACACGAGAAACGTTTGAGTTAGGGGGCAGGTTATAGGCCATCTAGCACAAACTGCTGTTTATGCATAAATACAGAGCTAGAACCCCTCCTAATACGTGTATGTGTGTCAGCTATCTTTAAAAGGAGAGCCGCTATTTATTCAAAAAGGGAGAAACTGTAATTTGGATAGAGAGTATTTTAAATTTTCTGAGGGTTTTTGTTTTTTTAAAAAATGTGTTGGAGAAGCTTTTTCTTGTTTCTGGATTTTGTTTTCCACAGGCTGTCACATAACTTAAGAGAATGGTAAAGGAATCATTTCTTTGCTAAATGTGTGATTGTATCCTTAAAAATCCCCCAAAACTCAAAACCTGCAAAGGAGTCTTAAGTAATTATAAAAAGTTCACAGATGGAACAGTTCAGTCATTGCCCGTGCATCAGCCATGACCCCAACTCATACAGTCCCTTTCTTTTCGATTTGTCATTGCTTTGTGCCCTGCTCAAACACTTCCCTTCCCAATTTGTCATGCTGTGGAAGGACCGCTGCAAGCCCTTCCACTACGACCGGCCCTGGCAGAGGGCCACCGCCCGAGAGGCCAACGAGTGCGTCGGTGAGTGAGGAGGAGGGACTCCTTGTCTAACCTTCCAACGGTTTCTCCTTATGAGCATCCTATTAGCCATGTACCCTCCAAATTTCTCTGATGTAGAGACGTCCTAAGGGGCATTCCGGGATCAAATCAGAAACCGGAATGGCTTCTGTAAATCTGGGGCTGTCCTTGGGGAAATAGGGACACTTGGAGGGTTCTGGTAATTGCAGCTTCTTCGCAGGTGCGCACGCAGAGAGCCAGGTGTGAAAGGGGCTCCTCTGAGTGGCTCAGTGAGAAAACGGCGAGAACGTTTGCAAAACCTAAGCAGGAACTGGTAGGGTTTCATATTGGATGGGGGCATGGATTTATGTTGGGGGGGGGGCGAGGCAGGACACACACCTGTCCTCCTCCTCATCTGTCTTGATCTGCCTAGCTCTGTCTAGCAGATTCAGAGTTTAAAGTTGTTTTAAATTACCCCAGGTGTTAGAAAAATCTGTCACAATCTTTCTACAGTTTTGTAAATTTAGTTAAGTATTTTTTATTTATTTACTTGATTTAGGTGAGAGCAGCTTCCCCCTGGCTATGGCCATGAATGGAGGCTACACCAAGTTGAGATTCCTGCATTGCAGAGGGTTGGACTAGATGGCCCTTGGGGTTCCCTCCATATGAGGGGCTGTGGGAGGCCAAATGCTGCAAGCCTGTTCAGTGGTGTCTGTTCACATGGGTGGGGGTGGCTGTTAGTTGCCAAAATATACAGTGATGTGTCTTGCAATAAATGCGGTAGATTCCCTCATTCCCACAGTGCAATAATTGCCTGACCCATTTCAGATATTTGGGATGTGTCTGGGTTTATGCACTGGAGGCTTCGTACATGCTCAGAGGCATTCTGCTATGTTAGTTTGTTTATTGGCAATATCGCTTACATGTTGTCTGCAAACGGAACAGTTTGTTTTAGCTATGAGTTGCAAGTCTCTGGCCATTCTGAGCCTTAGTATTAAAACCAGATTCCGGGACTGAACCTTCTGGTGTCCTTGCAGGCAGATTAATACCCTTACAGTACTATAATGCTAAATGGGTGAGTGATTTGTGACCTGGCTGGGAAGTCAAACATGCTCAGCATGTGCAGAAAGGGTCTCTCCTTAATAGGTGGCTAAACCCTGCTTCAAGTAAAGCCACACACCATTTTAAGGCTCCTCTCCTTCCCACTCTTTCCCCCAATGTCCTGTGTGCCTGTAAAACACAAGAGACAAAAATACATTGACGCAGCTTTTCCCAGTGTGGAGGAAAACTTGACCTGCTGAATTTCTAACCCTCAAGACAGTTGTTAGTGGTGCTGCGGTCTTGTTCAAAAACAAGCTGAAGTCCTGAACCCTTGGAGTGTTTCGCTTTCTCCCCCACCCTTAATCCCAGGTTTTTTTAAAGGGACGATTGGATTGAAGAGAAGGCACCTCAGCAGTTGCCCAATGATGCTCTTTGCTTCGCTATTCCTGTGATCCATGGAGGAGCATGTGGGGATGAGGTCAGGGATATAAGGTGATATAAGGTGATTCTGGCAAAGCTGCGAGAAGGCAATCTTTCTCACAACGCAGTTCATCCCGTGTACTTGTTTCCTCAGCTCACTCGGCTTCAGTCCAAGTATTTCGGCTAGTTAAAATATGCCTGGCAGGAAATTAATTTCCAAAGTTAATAGGTCCCCTTCTTCAACATAGTCTTAGTATGCCGAGGAACAAACTGGTGGAAGAAAGGCAGGGCAAACGGTAGGTTTATCTTGCGTGACCCCGGCTGGCCCCTCACCTCACCCAGCCACGGTGTCTCCCCTAAAGAAGGAGGCTAGGTCAGAGCAGAGTGGGTCTTTCCCTTAGAAAAGATATGCTTGCAAGCTCGTTTCCACCAGATTCCTGTGGGTCAGGCCGGTATAGGAAGCACAGAGCAAAGTGGCAGGAGGGACTCTCTCGCACTGTCTCCCCAAAGCAACTTTGAGAAGGGGGACAGAGCTAGAGTTTAGGCGGAGTAAAAGATTAGGGAGCTCTACTGGTTTGGTGGAAGTCCCAACAGTGGTGCGCTGCTTTGAAGAGAGCCAGTGTGGTGTGGTGGTTAAGAGCGGTAGTCTCATAATCTGGGGAACCAGGTTCGCGTCTCCTCTCCTCCACATGCAGCTGCTGGGTGATCTTGGGCCAGTCACACTTCTCTGAAGTCTCTCAGCCCCACTCACCTCACAGAGTGTTTGTTGTGGGGGAGGAAGGGAAAGGAGAATGTTAACAGCTTTGAGACTCCTTAGGGTAGTGATAAAGCGGGATATCAAATCCAAACTCTTCTTCGAAATCCAACCCAAGGTCGAGTTTGCGCAGCCTGGTGAACTCTTGTACTGCCTAGATTTTGAGCTGAGCCCTTCCTTCCCTCCTTCTGTGCCGCTGCCTGGTCACAGGGGCCAGGCGTTGCTGTGGGACTCTGCTAATTCAAAAAAGAGATACTATCTGCTCCTTCCAGTCCAATTTCTTTGATCTGTGATGGGCGGGCCTAGGCAGGCACAATATTCGGTCCTCTTTGGCTGTAGTCAGAAAAGCACATAGGGAGGGGTGCAGTCGGAGGGACTGAGAGGAAGGTTGACTGGCCTCAAGCGATCCCTGGATAGAGAGAGGAGTGGGGTGTATCGGGATTATCTTGTTGTGCCAGGTGTATGCTGTTGCTGGGGGAAATTGATAAGGTGATCAAACATCACTTAAAAATGCTTAAAGTGTTCTGGGGGAAATGAAACACTTTTTAAAACTCAACTTTATTTCTTTCTCAGTCTCATTGCTAAGCAGGTGAATTTGAAAGCAAACTTTGACTGGTTTTAATGCATTTTGTTTAGGATTACTGTTGGAAGAGGGAAGCAACTCAGGTTGCCAAGGAAGGTTTGCATGGAAGACCCTCTCCCCAGAAATAAAACTTGCTTCCAAAATCTTCAATAAGTTTACATGTAATTAAACTTTGGGTTGAATCTTTAAAACTTGCAGCCTTCACTCCCCATGCATAGGGGTTAGAGCTGAGACACACTAACCTGGCAACAAGCTTCCCTGAGAAGAGACACCTTCTGAGAAAGCAAAGTTAGGGACCTGCTCTAAGGAATACTGTATCGGTTTTAGTAACAATAACTATATAAACAGAGTACCATTAAGAATACAGTATTTGTAACTATTTGGAACTAGTATCTATTTGGAACTAGTATCTATTTGGAACTAGTAACTATATTTCAATACTTTTCATTCACATACTGATGACAGAATTGTCCAGTATTTGAGCTGCAATTACCGTACCTGTAAAACAACTATCATTTATTCCTGGGAAACACGAGAAACGTTTGAGTTAGGGGGCAGGTTATAGGCCATCTAGCACAAACTGCTGTTTATGCATAAATACAGAGCTAGAACCCCTCCTAATACGTGTATGTGTGTCAGCTATCTTTAAAAGGAGAGCCGCTATTTATTCAAAAAGGGAGAAACTGTAATTTGGATAGAGAGTATTTTAAATTTTCTGAGGGTTTTTGTTTTTTTAAAAAATGTGTTGGAGAAGCTTTTTCTTGTTTCTGGATTTTGTTTTCCACAGGCTGTCACATAACTTAAGAGAATGGTAAAGGAATCATTTCTTTGCTAAATGTGTGATTGTATCCTTAAAAATCCCCCAAAACTCAAAACCTGCAAAGGAGTCTTAAGTAATTATAAAAAGTTCACAGATGGAACAGTTCAGTCATTGCCCGTGCATCAGCCATGACCCCAACTCATACAGTCCCTTTCTTTTCGATTTGTCATTGCTTTGTGCCCTGCTCAAACACTTCCCTTCCCAATTTGTCATGCTGTGGAAGGACCAAACAGGTTTCTATCATTTTTTTAAAAAAATGTTTTTATTAAAAGATGTTCCATAAGTAACAAGAGTACATTCAGTGTTTCTATTTTAGAATCATATTGTCTTTCATACAAGTCACTTTGAGACATTTTTTTTTTTTACTCTTGTCCACTTGTCATTCACCCCTTTGAGTTTCTTAAACCACAAGGATGACTCCAAGGGATTGTGGGTGTTATTGCAGAATATTTCCGATTACTCTGTTCGCTCCCCTAGGTTTTAGTCACACTATAGCAAGGTTCTGTGCAGCATAGATTAAATCCTTATGTGATACTGGAAAAGTAGTTGGATAATACAAAAAGAAGGAGGAAGAGTTGGGCTCTGGGTTGCAGGATTGTGCAGGAGGGCTAACACTCTTCCCCCATGCCATTTTGAATTGCTCCCAGAACTTCTCTTTGCACCTCACCATATCAATTCAGATGGGGAAATGGAAAAGAAAGACAGAGTCAACCCTCTCTTCCCAAGCTTTGTGGCTCTAATCTGAATTTCCCCTCTTTCCCTTTTCAATAAATCTTAACTTGTTTGCTTGAGTCCTTTAACAGGCTGCTCACCCATGAATTCCAGTGCCTTTATTTCCTGTATAAGCCAATGCAGGAAAAAGTATAGGGCTTTTCCACCCTCTATGTATGACTCATTTGTCACTATTGGATCATGTTGTTTAATGGGCAGTGAGTGCTGTTTTCTTTGGCCTTTGAATGATTTGCAGTTGAATAATATTGCAGAATAATATTACTGCACAAATGCAGTTCCATTCTTTTAAATGGTACTCAGATGTGACTGTAAAGATATTTCTCATGTCTTTGTCTTGCTGTTGAACACCAAGTTTGTTAACAAAACAAAATATTGTCACCATATGGCTGTGTTTGGCTCATTGAGATTTATTCCTTTAGAAAACGGATACAGCTGAATATGTCACAACAATGTTAAATACAGACATGCACGGGCTCTTGCAAGATTGTTTGTTGGATTTTTTGTTCCTGTTGAGAGACATCAGCTCCCACATTTTGGTTGAGTTCTTGTAGTGGAGTATGGTTCAATTTGCCTTTGAGAACATACTTGTCTTGTTTTTCTAATATTACATAGCCTTTGGTTTGTGTTGTGAATCAAATTAAATGATTCAGCATTGCTATAAATTGTTCTGGAGA